TATTTCTATGTTTGGCCGGGTGTGATTCCCAATCAGAGGCAGCTGTCGCTCGTTGTCTCTGATTGGGGGATCATACTTAAGTAGACTGTTCGCCTACCTTAGTTGTGGGATCTTGTTCCGTGTTTAGGCGTGTATGTGTTTAGCCTGAGGACGTCACGTTGTTTCTTGTTTTGTTTATGTTTATTGAGTTTAATAAACATGTACGCTTTGCACGCTGCACCTTGGTCTGACCCGTCTCTCAACGATCGTGACAACACGTCTGTTTCAATGTCCTCTTTCCCGTGATAAAAAGACATCATCATCATCATCAACATCTACTAAGTTGTGCCACAAGAACCTTTAACGGTCACAGATGTATGATGTCATTGTGTTAACTGACAGATTGTAACAGCTGATGATGTTACGGGTCGGGTGGCTCGTGGCTGCTCTGAAACCTGTGGTAACGGTAATTAATGGGTCTTGGAGTTTGACGTACTTCTACATTCATATAAGACTCACCACGAAAACAATCTTCGTCATTGTAGTTGATGATCCATGTAGAACACAGTGCCGTGCGTTTACAATCAGTTTAACTTCAAATTATTATCTTTGTTTATCTTGTTCATTGGAAGACATTGTGTTATTTTGTTGCATGGTGTTTATGAAATAAAAACAGTGAAATTAGAATTTTATATCGCTTATCTACTTTATTCAGTGCACGCACGCGCACGCACACGCACGCACATACGCACGCACGCACGCATACACACACACACACACACACACACACGCACACAGTGGAATGGTGCTGCCAACAGCATGCCTATGTCGCCCCCTACTGTCTGACAAGTACTACAGCTCCATCATCCTAACTTCTTAAACTATTTTGACTCAATAAATAACAGCCACAAATAAGGTCAGATATATAGATAGACAGGCTGTAGTAATAAGGTCAATCACACAGATAGATAGAATAAGGTCTATCACACAGATAGATAAGCTGTAGTACTAACCTCCACATCATAATGATAGATAGATAGAATAAGGTCTATCACACAGATAGATAAGCTGTAGTACTAACCTCTCTCCCACATATGTTTATTGTATTGTATGACCACGACGAAGACAGACAGACATACAGACAGACAGACAGACCACAGACCACGACCGACAGACGACGACAGACATAGAATAGAGATAGAGAGAGATATAGATAGGATAGATCATAGATAGTATAAGATCTATAGAGAGATAGAAGAGAGAGAGATAGAGATAGCTGATAGATATCTAGATAGAGAGGAGAGAGAGAGAGAGAGATAGATAGTATATATTAGAGAGAGAGAGAGAGAGAGAGATATGGCGAGAAGAGAGAATAGCTGATAGATAGATAGATAGATCCATCGATCGCTAGCTAGCTAGATAGCACGCTCGAAGATAATTATAGCTCGCTAGCTCCCCCGCTCTATAGATCAACCGCTCGCCTCGTCCGCTTCGCTCGGATAGATAGATAGTCGCTAGGATAGACTAGCTAGCTAGATAGCACAAAAACCGATACTCTCCTAGCTAGATCCAGCCCCGATAGATCGCTAGATAGATAGATAGATATATAGATAGATTAGATAGATCGATAGATAGATAGATATATAGCAACAGACAGACACGACAGACAGACAGACGACAGACAGACAGACAGACAGACAGACAGACATAGCAGAGCAGACAGATAGATAGATATATAACAGACAGACAACAGACCGGACAGCTATACAGACAGACAGACATACAGACATACAGACAGACGACAGACAGACAGCAGACAGACAGACGACATACATGACAGACAGACAGACAGACAACCGAACAGACGATGGTATATAGAAAGACCACAGATATAGATAATAGATAGATAGATATATAGATAGATAGATAGATGAACAACCGTATATTAGATAGATAGAATAGATAGATAGATAGATAGATCATATATAGACAGACAGACAACGAGACAGACAACAGACCGACAGACAGACAGACAGCACAGACATACAGACAGACAACAGACAGACAGACAACAGACAGCAACAACAGACACGACAGACATACAGACAGATAGATAGATAGATAGATAGATATGATAGATAATATAGATAGATAGATAGATAGATAGATAGATAGATAGATATAGATAGATAGATAGATAGATAGATAGATAGAGAGCTGTAGTACTAACCTCCACATCATCATGTTATTGTTTGACCACGACAGCATCAGGATGGGGCACCGGGGCATGGTAGGTGAAAACAAGTCCCACCTTTCCGGTTATCTTCCCGGTTAACATTGCCCCCCGGTTGATGACTGGTTAACACTCCCCCTCTCCTCTCCTCTTAGCTGGCAGCGCGCTCCAGCATCCGTCACATGACGTCAGCAGCAGCGGTTTGGCTCTCGTGCTTGTCTCCGGGAGAAAGAGGGTCAAATAGAGAGGGGAGGATGCGCGAGTGACAACCGAGAGATCCACGGCACTAGACCGAGCCGGTAAAGACCAGTTTAACCGTTTTTACAGGAGACAAGCTTTAAAATACTGGGACACAGGTTTGGTGGGAATGAGAGAGAACGAGCTGAAGCGGAGAAACTAGATATAGAGAGAGAGAGTATAGAGAGAGAGAGAGAGAGAATAGATGAGAGAACGAGAGTAGAGAGAGAGAGATCAGAGGAGAACGGAGATTGGAGGTAAGAGTTGACTTTTCTCTCTATGTGATAATGAAGCTTATATTTCTACTATGTGTCTTCTGAGTCATATCATCACAGCCTAGTTCTAGTTTTGATTATCATTAATATCATCATGAGTCCTTTACATTGATCAATCCCTCCAACAGTCTATCTTTACAGAGATCCCATTCCTTTTGAGCCCAGTTTGTGGATAGCCTATGTATTGTGTTGGTGAGTTCTGTGGATTATGACTGATGGAATGTCAAGGCTATAAGCTATAGCTCATAGAGGGGATCTAGATACCACAGACAGAGGATCACAGGATACAGTGGTAGATAGGGTGATACATGACATAAGACAGACGAGAGAAAGGATAAGAGAGAGACGAGACTAGAGAGACGAGAGCAGACAGAGAGATAGAGAGAGAGAGACAGAGAGAAGAGAACAGAGAGAGAGTAGGAAAGACAGAGAGAGAGAGAGAGAGAGACAGATAGAGGACGAGAGACAGAGAGAGAGAGAGACAAAGAAGAACGACACACAGAGAAGAGACAGAGAGAGAGACAGACAGAGAGAGAGCTGAACAGAGAGAGAGAAGAGAAGAGAAGACGAGACTAAATAAGTAATAAGATGTGAGAGTATAGATAAGAAGAAATTTAGACAGAATAAGAACAATACATGAGAGAGAGAGAGAGACACGACAGAAGACAAGACAGAGTAGAGAGAGACAGGACGCTAGAGACAAAGCAGAGAGAGATACAGAGAATGAGATACAGAGAAGACAGAAGAAGAGAACAGCTAGAGTACTAGAGAAAAGCATAAAACAGAATCTACCGCTAAGCAGAAATAATCCCGAGAGCAGAGAGATAGAGAGAGAGAGAGAGAGAGAGGATAGGAATGCGTTATACGAAAGAGAGAGAGAGCAGTTCTTTCTTTTTGCTCATTCAGCCATGACTAAAGGTTTGGAGGAGATAACATCGACATAGACATGCTCCCCCCACTAACGCCCCTCACTCCCCTCCCCCCCTAACTCTCGGGGGAGAGAGAGAGATAGAGAAAGAGAGAAAGAGAGCGAACGAGAGAGACTGCAGAGCTTTGGCCTTTAAATAGCCTGACTGTAATACCCCGCTCTCTCAGATCGCGTCCTAAATGGTACCCTATGTCCTTTACCGTTTTTAGGGCTCTGGACAGAAGTAGTGCACTACACCGAGGGTGCAAAACATTAAGAACACCTTCCTAATATTGAGTTGCAACCCCCTTTTGCCCTCAGGACAGCTCGTCAATTCATCGGGGCATGGACTCTACAAGGTGTCGAAAGCGTTCCACAGGGATGCTGGCCCGTGTTGACTCCAATGCTTCCCATAGTTGTGTCAAGTTGGCTGGATGTCCTTTGGGTGGTGGACCTTTTCTTGATACACACGGGAAACTGGTGAGCGTGAAAAACCCAGCAGCGGTGCAGTTCTTGACACACAAACCGGTGCGCCTGGCACCTACTACCATACCCCGTTCAAAGGCACTTCAATATTTTGTCTTGCCCATTCACCCTCTGAATGTCTCAATTGTCTCAAGGCTGAAAAATCCTTCTTTAACCGGTCTCATCCCCTTGATCTACACTGATTGAAGTGGATTTAACAAGTGACATCAAGAAGGGACCTATCGTCCCCTGTCTGACCTCTCTCCAGTCCCTCTCTTTCTTTCTCTCTTTCCTATTTCTTTCTAGAGAGAGAGACAGTTAAGAGAATGGTGCAGTTAATAAATCAATGTTAATGTGTTTTTATACCGGAAATAACCCACATTGTTTTGAGAGCGGTCTATATAGCATGTATGGATTCAGTTCTGATGTCAAAAGGCACCAGACATTAAAGCTTTATTGAGAATATAAATCATGTATCTGAAGTGGACACAGGGTTCTCTCTTTCTGAAACCCATCTGAACTAATTCTCATGTGTACACACACACACAAACGCGCGCACACACATGCACTGACCTCATCTTTGTGTGTGTTTGTGTGTGTGTGTGTGTGTGTGTGTTTGTGTGTGTGTGTGTGTGTGTGTGTGTGTGTGTGTGTGTGTGTGTGTGTGTGTGTGTGTGTGTGTGTGTGTGTGTGTGTGTGTGTGTGTGTGTGTGTGTGTGTGTGTGTGTGTGTGTGTGTGTGAAACAGAGGGATGAAAGTAAACAGCTGTTTTTCTCAGCCGTCATCCTGATGCTCTGTAATCTGTTCTGCAGGTCTAAGGAACAGCACTGGACACACCACTGACCCCTGACCTCTAATCCCTGGGTGTGTTCGAGGGGATGCGTGGGGTTGTCCGGCGGAAGAGATGGCATCATGTGACCTCCCGTACTTCTGCCCTCGCTGCGGAGACGACAAGCGTTTCGACAGCGTACCTGCCCTCCGCTCTCACCTGGTCAGCCGTCACACCTACGAGACCCTCCTGGTTCTGTCCCAGGCCCGGGCCAGGAGCTCCAGCCCAGGAACCCTGCTCCCACTCCTCCCCAACCCCATGGCCCAGCCGGAGCACCCCGTCCTGGGCCCGGAGAGGGAGAGACTCCCCTTCCCCCTGGCCTGCCTGGATCTAGCCTCCTCCTCCTCTGCCTCGGCCCAGCTACTCATTGAGATGTTGACCAGGAGAGACCAGGGAGGAGGGTCATCTGGTCCTGGCAGGTCTGCTGGTACTGTAGATAATGCACCTCCTCACAGCTCCACGGCCCTGGTCCTGCCTGGCTGCAGGGGAGACAGCCTGGCTGAACTGGGGCTGAGAGGTCTAGGCCACCGGGGGCTGGGACCAAGCCTGGGCCTGGAGATTGGGCTCTGCCTGGACGAGAGCCTCACTCTGGGGCTGGGGCTTGACGAGAGGCTGGGGGTGGAGCGGAGTATCGCCAGGACGTTTGCCGAGGTGGAGGAGAGGGTGGCCCAGCGTGTGGGCTGTCTGAGGGCGGAGCTAGAGCGTCGGGAGGCGGAGTTAGCGCATGAGAGGCGGGACGCGGAGCGGCTGGGGAGGGAGAAGGAGGAGCTGGAGGACCAGGCGTCCCATCTCTCCCGGCAGGTGGCGGTTTCCGTGGAGATGATGGCCACTCTGAGGAGAGACTTGCAGGGGAAGGAGCAGGAGCTGGGCCGCAAGCAGCAGTGAGTGATTATAATGCTTCATAACATGCTTATAACGCTTCATAGCACATTTATAACACTTCATAATGTCTACATACAGCAGTCATTAGAGTGATATTACAGAAGTCAAGCAGCAGTCTACTGTTGCATTATGGTATGTGTAGTCCCATATATACTGTTGCATTATGGTATGTGTAGTCCCATGTCTACTGTTGCATTAGTAGTCCCATGCCTACTGTTGCATTATGGTATGTGTAGTCCCATGCCTACTGTTGCATTATGGTATGTGTAGTCCCATGTCTACTGTTACATTATGGTATGTGTAGTCCCATGTCTACTGTTGCATTATGGTATGTGTAGTCCCATGTCTACTGTTGCATTATGGTATGTGTAGTCCCATGCCTTCTGTGCATTATGGTATGTGTAGTCCCATGTCTACTGTTACATTATGGTATGTGTAGTCCCATGCCTTCTGTTGCATTATGGTATGTGTAGTCCCATGTCTACTGTTGCATTATGGTATGTGTAGTCCCATGCCTACTGTTGCATTATGGTATGTGTAGTCCCATGTCTACTGTTACATTATGGTATGTGTAGTCCCATGCCTTCTGTTGCATTATGGTATGTGTAGTCCCATGTCTACTGTTACATTATGGTATGTGTAGTCCCATGCCTTCTGTTGCATTATGGTATGTGTAGTCCCATGTCTACTGTTACATTATGGTATGTGTAGTCCCATGCCTTCTGTTGCATTATGGTATGTGTAGTCCCATGTCTACTGTTGCATTATGGTATGTATAGTCCCATGTCTACTGTGCATTATGGTAGTGTGTCCCATGCCTACTGTTGGCATTATGGTTATGTGTAGTCCCATGTCTACTGTTTAGCATTATGGTATGTATAGTCCCATGTCTACTGTGGCATTATGGTATGTGTAGTCCCATGTCTACTGTTACATTATGGTATGTTGTAGTCCCAATGCCTACTGTTGCATTATGGTATGTGTAGTCCCATGTCTACTGTTGCATTATGGTATGTATAGTCCCATGTCTACTGTTACATTATGGTATGTGTAGTCCCATGCCTACTGTTGCATTATGGTATGTGTAGTCCCATGTCTACAGGGTGGATCAGTGTCAAGGCTGGGGCCTGATGATAACACTATCTGACAGGGTGGGACAGGGCCTTAAGCGCATACAAGCTCCACTCTGTCGATCGTCGTGTGCATAAAGGTGCAGTCGGTTTTTTGGGGGCAGCGGACACTATTTACCAAAGCCTCGTTGCGTTCCACCAATGAGATGAAGTCTGCCTTGTGCAGTGTATATCCACTAGGGGGCAGTGGGAGCCAGAGTAGCTTAGCAAGCAAGAGGGGCCAGGCTCTCTTTGACTGGAGCTAGCATTTGAAATTGAACATTTATATGCCTTTTTGATTACAAATACTAGCTAGCTTCATGTCAGGCTAGTCAGGTGTTCTATGCTTTACAACGCTACTTCTTTAGCCACAGAAGCAGAAGCAGACATTTCTCTCTATGAATTGCAAGTGCTCCTACTACTCAGGAGAAGGGAAGAAAATGAGCCACTGAACAGTTACAAGATGGAGAATATACCTCTTATCCAACCTATACGAACTATTGACGGTGAAAGGTATTTCCTACAAGGGCTTCTTCTCAATGGTCCTGATGGCAGTCTGCGATGCAGAGCAAGTTGGGCAGAGCAACTCATTGCAGGCTAGCTGCCGCTACCTAGGCCAGAGAGTTTGGACCCAAACACCGAGCCCGCTGCCGCTACCAAGGCCAGAGAGTTTGGACCCAAACACCGAGCCAGAGAGTTTGGACCCAAACACCGAGCCCATTAGTCTCAGTGGGAGACGAGGCATTCCCTCTGAGGGTAAACCTGATGCGACCTTATCCAGGTAAGATACGCTAAATACATGTGACTATACATATGATGTGAAAATGATACCAATATAGACGTAATGATTTGCCACATAAAAGTGGTTTGGCATCCTAGTAAAATGATGGGGGCCTATGTCCAAAGCATAGGCTTCACAGTTGTCACAGTACACATTTGATATCCTTCATGTTCCTGTTCAACAGTAATGGAAATGCTTCTTTATTAAAAGGTTATTCTGGCCGTGATGATGCCAAGAAGATCTACTACTACCGTCACTCAAGAGCCAGAAGAATGTCAAAGAACTGCTTTGGGATTCTTGCTGCAAGGTGGAGGATCCTGGAACGAGCCCTTGAGGTTGAGGCTCCAGAGAAAGATGAGACCACTGTGAAGATGGAGGATCCTGAGATGAGTCCTTGAGATTGAAGCTCCAGAGAAAGATGAGACCACTGTGAAGATGGAGGATCCTGAGATGAGTCCTTGAGATTGAAGCTCCAGAGAAAGATGAGACCACTGTGAAGATGGAGGATCCTGAGATGAGTCCTTGAGGTTGAGGCTCCAGAGAAAGATGAGACCACTGTGAAGATGGAGGATCCTGAGATGAGTCCTTGAGGTTGAGACTCCAGAGAAAGCTGAGACCACTGTGAAGATGGAGGATCCTGAGATGAGTCCTTGAGGTTGAGACTCCAGAGAAAGCTGAGACCACTGTGAAGATGGAGGATCCTGAGATGAGTCCTTGAGGTTGAGTGAAGACCTGCGTGGCTCTCCACAACTACCTTCACACTACAGAAACTGACAACACAGACACTGACATCACAGATACTGACAACACAGACACTGACAGCACAGATACTGACAACACAGACACTGACAGCACAGAAACTGACAACACAGACACTGACAACACAGACACTGACAGCACAGAAACTGACAACACAGATACTGACATCACAGATAATGACAACACAGATACTGACAACACAGACACTGACAGCACAGAGTCATCAACACGGTGCATCCACCCCACTGGGGACCTGCGTCCAGGTGAATGGAGACCGGTGGTACAAGGGGAGACATTAGCTTCCTGGACCCAACAAATATGTTGGCAGACAGGGCAAACAGAGTTACTATAGACGTGCACAACAACCTCAAGGACTACTTCCTCACACCAGCTGGCCAAGTGCCTCTCCAGGATGCTGCTATCGCACATGGCACCCTACAGTATGCTGCTATCACACATGGCACCCTACAGTATGCTGCTATCGCACATGGCACCCTACAGTATGCTGCTATCGCACATGGCACCCTACAGTATGCTGCTATCGCACATGGCACCCTACAGTATGCTGCTATCACACATGGCACCCTACAGTATGCTGCTATCACACATGGCACCCTACAGTATGCTGCTATCGCACATGGCACCCTACAGTATGCTGCTATCACACATGGCACCCTACAGTATGCTGCTATCGCACATGGCACCCTACAGGATGCTGCTATCGCACATGGCACCCTACAGTATGCTGCTATCACACATGGCACCCTACAGTATGCTGCTATCGCACATGGCACCCTACAGTATGCTGCTATCGCACATGGCACCCTACAGTATGCTGCTATCGCACATGGCACCCTACAGTATGCTGCTATCACACATGGCACCCTACAGTATGCTGCTATCACACATGGCACCCTACAGTAAATATTCCAATGTTGGAGTTGTCTGGAAAACAAGTACACATGATGTTCTCTTCCTCTGTGTGATGACTGTTTATGTTGGGAGCTACACACTTGGACTTGGCTGTTTGGGTTGAGCTGTTTTTCTAATTCCCACATTACAAACCACAATAAAGACTAACATAAAGACAGTCACTTCATCCTGGTGTTGTTTTAGTTTGTCATATATATTTTTTCAAGACATTTACCTAACCTTTTGTGTAGTGGCCTTTCAATGAATATCTGTCCAGCTGCAGGCAACAGGGTTAGACTCTAGAGACATTAACCTCATCTACAGGGCCAGACTCTAGAGACATTAACCTCATCTACAGGGCCAGACTCTAGAGACATTAACCTCATCTACAGGGCCAGACTCTAGAGACATTAACCTCATCTACAGGGCCAGACTCTAGAGACATTAACCTCATCTACAGGGCCAGACTCTAGAGACATTAACCTCATCTACAGGGCCAGACTCTAGAGACATTAACCTCATCTACAGGGCCAGACTCTAGAGACATTAACCTCATCTACAGGGCCAGACTCTAGAGACATTAACCTCATCTACAGGGCTAGACTCTAGAGACATACCTCATCTACAGGGCCAGACTCTAGAGACATTAACCATCATCTACAGGGCCAGACTCTAGAGACATTAACCTCATCTACAGGGCCAGACTCTAGAGACATTAACCTCATCTACAGGGCCAGACTCTAGAGACATTAACCTCATCTACAGGGCCAGACTCTAGAGACATTAACCTCATCTACAGGGCCAGACTCTAGAGACATTAACCTCATCTACAGGGCCAGACTCTAGAGACATTAACCTCATCTACAGGGCCAGACTCTAGAGACATTAACCTCATCTACAGGGCCAGACTCTAGAGACATTAACCTCATCTACAGGGCCAGACTCTAGAGACATTAACCTCATCTACAGGGCCAGACTCTAGAGACATTAACCTCATCTACAGGGCCAGACTCTAGAGACATTAACCTCATCTACAGGGCCAGACTCTAGAGACATTAACCTCATCTACAGGGCCAGACTCTAGAGACATTAACCTCATCTACAGGGCCAGACTCTAGAGACATTAACCTCATCTACAGGGCCAGACTCTAGAGACATTAACCTCATTACCAGGACTAGACTCTAGAGACATTAACCTCATCTACATAACAACGTGGTACATGGTCATGTGGGGAGGCCTCCCTGCAATGGGGTGTTCCATGTTATTGTACCTACTAGATACAGGGTGTTCCATGTTATTGTACCTACTAGATACAGGGTGTTCCATGTTATTGTACCTACTAGATACAGGGTGTTCCATGTTATTGTACTACTAGATACAGGGTGTTTCCATGTTATTGTACCTACTAGATACAGGGTGTTCCATGTTATTGTACCTACTAGATACAGGGTGTTCCATGTTATTGTACCTACTAGATACAGGGTGTTCCATGTTATTGTACCTACTAGATACAGGGTGTTCCATGTTATTGTACCTACTAGATACAGGGTGTTCCATGTTATTGTACCTACTAGATACAGGGTGTTTCCATGTTATTGTACCTACTAGATACAGGGTGTTCCATGTTATTGTACCTACTAGATACAGGGTGTTCCATGTTATTGTACCTACTAGATACAGGGTGTTCCATGTTATGTACCTACTAGATACAGGGTGTTCCATGTTATTGTACCTACTAGATACAGGGTGTTCCATGTTTATTGTACCTACTAGATACAGGGTGTTCCATGGTTATTGTACCTACTAGATACAGGGGTGTTTCCATGTTATTGTACCTACCTAGATACAGGGTGTTCCATGTTATTGTACCTACTAGATACAGGGTGGTTCCATGTTATTGTACCTACTAGATACAGGGTGTTCCATGTTATTGTACCTACTAGATACAGGGTGTTCCATGTTATTGTACCTACTAGATACAGGGTGTTCCATGTTATTGTACCTACTAGATACAGGGTGTTCCATGTTATTGTACTACAATAACAGGGTCCATTTTACTAGATACAGGGTGTTCCATGTTATTGTACCTACTAGATACAGGGTGTTTCCATGTTATTGTACCTAACTAGATACAGGGTGTTCCATGTTATTGTACCCTACTAGATACAGGGTGTTCCATGTTATTGGTACCTACTAGATACAGGGTGTTCCAATGTTATCGTAACCTACTAGATACAGGGTGTTCCATGTTATCGTACCTACTAGATACAGGGTGTTCCATGTTATTGTACCTACTAGATACAGGGTGTTCCATTTATTGTAACCTACTAGATACAGGGTGTTCCATGTTATTGTACCACTAGATACAGGTGTTCCATGTTATTGTACCTACTAGATACAGGGTGTTTCCATGTTATTGTACCTACTAGATACAGGGTGTTCCATGTTATTGTACCTACTAGATACAGGGTGTCCATGTTATTGTACCTACTAGATACAGGGTGTTCCATGTTATTGTACTACTAGATACAGGGTGTTCCATGTTTTGTACCTACTAGATACAGGGTGTTCCATGTTATTGTACCTACTAGATACAGGGTGTTCCATGTTATTGTACCTACTAGATACAGGGTGTTCCATGTTATTGTACCTACTAGATACAGGGTGTTCCATGTTATTGTACCTACTAGATACAGGGTGTTCCATGTTATTGTACCTACTAGATACAGGGTGTTCCATGTTATTGTACCTACTAGATACAGGGTGTTCCATGTTATGTACCTACTAGATACAGGGTGTTCCATGTTATTGTACCTACTAGATACAGGGTGTTCCATGTTATTGTACCTACTAGATACAGGGTGTTCCATGTTATTGTACCTACTAGATACAGGGTGTTCCATGTTATTGTACCTATAGATACGGGTGTTCCATGTTATTGTACCTACTAGATACAGGGTGTTCCATGTTATTGTACCTACAGATACAGGGTGTTCCATGTTATTGTACCTACTAGATACAGGGTGTTCCCATGTTAGTGTACCTACTAGATACAGGGTGTTCCATGTTATTGTACCTACTAGATACAGGGTGTTCCATGTTATTGTACCTACTAGATACAGGGTGTTCCATGTTATTTACCTACTAGATACAGGGTGTTCCATGTATGTACTACTAGATACAGGGTGTTCCATGTTATTGTACTACTAATACAGGGTGTTCCTGTTATTGTACCTACTAGATACAGGGTGTTTCCATGTTTATTGTACTACCTAATGTACAGGGTGTTTCCATGTTATTGGTACCTACTAGATACAGGGTGGTTCCATGTTTATTGTACCGACTAAATACCAAGGGGGGTGGTTCCACTGTTATTGTACCTACTAGATTACAGGGTGTTCCATGGTTCAGTGTAACCTACTAGGATCACAGGGTGTTTCCATGTGATTGTACCTACTAGATACAGGGTGTTCCATGTTATTGTACCTACTATATACAGGGGTGTTTTCCATGTTATTGTGTACCCTACTAGATTACACAGGGGTTCCATGTTTTGTACCTACTAGATACAGGTGTTCCATGTTATTGTCCGTACTAGATACAGGGTGTTCCATGTTATGGTACCAATACTAGATACAGGGTTGTTCCATGTTTATCCGTACCTACTAGAATACAGGGTGTTTCCATGTTATTGTACCTACTAGATACAGGGTGTTCCATGTTATTTGTACCTACCCGATACGGTGTGTTCCAATTGTTATTTGTACCTACTAGATACAGGGTGTTCCATGTTATTGTACTACTAGATCAGGGTGTTCCATGTTATTGTACCTACTAGATACAGGGTGTTCCATTTATGTACTACTAGATCAGGGTGTTCCATGTTATTGTACCTACTAGATACAGGGTGTTCCATGTTATTGTACCTACTAGATACAGGTGTTCCATGTTATTGTACCTACTAGATACAGGGTGTTCCATGTTATTGTACCTACTAGATACAGGGTGTTCCATGTTATTGTACCTACTAGATACAGGGTGTTCCATGTTATTGTACCTACTAGATACAGGGTTGTTCCATGTTATTGTACCTACTAGATACAGGGTGTTTCCATGTGTATTGTACCTACTAGATACAGGTGTTCCATGTTATTGTACTACTAGATACAGGTGTTTCCATGTTATTGTACCTACTAGATACAGGTGTTCCATGTTTGTACCTACTAGATACAGGTGTTCCATGTTATTGTACCTACTAGATACAGGGTGTTCCATGTTATTGTACCTACTAGATACAGGGTGTTCCATGTTATTGTACCTACTAGATACAGGGTGTTCCATGTTATTGTACCTACTATATACAGGGGTGTTCCATGGTTATTGTAACCTACTGATACAGGGTGTTCCATGTTTATTGTACTACTAAGATACAAAGGGTGTTCCATGTTATTGTACCTTACTAGAACCGGGTGGTTCCATTTATTGTAACCTACTAGATAACAGGTTTCCAGTTTTGTAACCTACTATTACGTGTGTTCCATGTATTTGTACCTACTAGATACAGGTGTTCCATGTTATTGTTACTCTACTAGATACCGTACAGGGTGTTCATGTTTTGTAACCTACGAGATACAGGTGTTACTTTATTGTACCTACTAGATCAGGGTGTTCCCCATTTATGTTACCTACTATATACGGTGTTCCCATGTTATTGTACGACTAGATACAGGTGTTACATGTTATTGTACCTTACTAGTACAGGGTTTCCGATGTTATTGTACCACTAGATACAGGGTGTTCCATGTTATTGTACCTACTAGATACAGGGTGTTCCATGTTATTGTACCTACTAGATACAGGGTGTTCCATGTTATTGTACCTACTAGATCAGGGTGTTCCATGTTATTGTACCTACTAGATACAGGGTGTTCCATGTTTATTGTACCTACTAGATACAGGGTGTTCCATGTTATTGTACCTACTAGATACAGGGTTGTTTGTCCATGTTATTGGTACGCTGACTAGATACAGGGTGTTCCATGTTATTGTACCTACTAGATACAGGGTGTTTCCATGTTATTGTACCTACTAGATACAGGGTGTTCCATGTTATTGTACCTACTAGATACAGGGTGTTCCATGTTATTGGTACCTACTAGATACCAGGGTGTTCCATGTTATTGTACCTACTAGATACCAGGGTGTTCCATGTTATTGTACCTACAGATACAGGGTGTTCCATGTTATTGTACCTACTAGATACAGGGTGTTCCATGTTATTGTACCTACTAGATACAGGTGTTCCATGTTATTGTACCTACTAGATACGGGTGTTTCCATGTTAATTGTACCTACTAGATACAGGGTGTTCCATGTTATCGTACCTACTAGATACAGGGTGTTCCATGTTATTGTACCTACTTATTTGTTGTTTGTTTCACAAGAAAAAATATTTTGCATCTTCAAAGTGGTAAGCATGTTGTGTAAATCAAATGATACAAACCCCCCCCCCAAAAAAAAAAAATCAATTTTAATTCCAGGTTTTAAGGCAACAAAATAGGAAAAATGCCAAAGGGGGGGTGAATACTTTCGCAAGCCACTGTATATCTGTGTGGGTGGATGTTAACGTGTATATGTATATATATGTTTGCATCACAGGGAGGTGTGTGATATTGAGCGGTTCCTGACAGCCACAGCGGAGAGAGAGGCAGAGGCTAAGCTGCGGCTGCAGTCCTTTATAGAGGCTCTGTTGGAACGAGCCGACCGGGCAGAGAGCCAGCTGCAGCTACTGGTGGCTCCAGACAGACACACCCACAACAATGACAGACACACCCACAACAATGACAGACACACCCACAATAATGACAGACACACCCACAATGATAATAGCCACACCCACAATAACGATAGTGACTCCCACAATGGGACCAACGGCCACAGGACCAATGGACACGCCCACAGTGAAGACGACATCATCACAGGGTCAAAGTTAATTGGCTACAGGGTGAGAAGGAACAATTTATCTGATCATTGATTGGCTGAGCAGTCCATATAACCAGCTACCCAGGTCTTGGGGTGATGGCTGGAAATATTGTAATAATGTTCCCTCTCTACTTCTCTCTCTCATCGTAACACTATCTTTGTTGTCTCTGGCTAGTTCTGTGATCATATCTTCTCGACTGAATACTATCTACAGAGCATCTTAAGTACTATGTAAGATCTATCTCATATCTTGTCTTATTCGGCTCCATAATAGTATCTCATATCTCATCATCACTCAAATATATAAACTCTGCCATCTCTCGATCTCTTGCCTCTCTACTGTCTCTCTCGTTCTCCTGTCTGTCTCTCTCCCCTCCTCTCATCTACTCTCTCTCCTCTCTCTCTCTCTCTCTCTCTCTCCTCTCTCTCTCTCTCTCTCTCTCTCTCTCTCTCTCTCTCTCTCTCTCTCTCTCTCTCTCTCTCTCATAGAGAAGCTACAGTGTATCTGGGCCGTACAGACTAGGAGACCAGATCTATCACCACCACTATGGGTAGATACACCTCATTATCATCATTTATCTTTGTTGATCCTGGTTCATCATTTATCTGTGTTGATCCTGGATCATTATTTATCTGTGTTGATCCTGGATCATCATTTATCTCTGTTGATACCAGATCATAATAATATAATATAATATAATATGCCATTTAGCAGACGCTTTTATCCAAAGCGACTTACAGTCATGCGTGCATACATTTTTGTGTATGGGTGGTCCCGGGGATCGAACCCACTACCTTGGCGTTACAAGCGCCGTGCTCTACCAGCTGAGCTACAGAGGACCACATCATCATTTATCTCTGTTGATACCAGATCATTATTTATCTGTGTTGATCCTGGATCATCATTTATCTCTGTTGATACCAGATCATCATTTATCTGTGTTGATCCTGGATCATCATTTATCTGTGTTGATCCTGGATCATCATTTATCTGTGTTGATCCTGGATCATTATTTATCTGTGTTGATCCTAGATCATCATTTATCTCTGTTGATACCAGATCATCATTTATCTCTGTTGATACCAGATCATTATTCAGCTGTGTTGATCCTGGATCATTATTTAGCTGTGTTGATCCTATATTGTCAATCTAATTTGTTGATTGATTGTTGATCCAGGATCAACAAGATAATGCTGATATAGGGTGGATATCACTCTGCGGAATCAGGACATGTACAGTGCCTTGCAAAAGTATTCATCCCCCTTGGCGTTTTTCCTATTTTGTTGCATTACAACCTGCAATTTAAATAGATTTTTATTTTGATTTAATGTAATGGAATTGCACAAAATAGTCCAAATTGGTGAAGTGACAAAGTTGTGGAGAAGTACAGATCAGGGTTGGGTTATAAAAAAATATACGAAACTTTGAACATCCCACGGAGCACCATTAAATCCATTATAAAAAAATGGAAAGAATATGGCACCACAACAAACCTGCCAAGAGAGGGCCGCCCACCAAAACTCACGGACCAGGCAAGGAGGGTATTAATCAGAGAGGCAACAAAGAGACCAAATATAACCCTGAAGGAGCTGCAAAGCTCCACAGCGGAGATTGGAGTATCTGTCCATAGGACCACTTTAAGCCGTACACTCCACAGAGCTGGGCTTTATGGAAGAGTGGTCAGAAAAAAGCCATTGCTTAAAGACAAAAATAAGCAAACATGTTTGGTGTTCACCAAAAGGCATGTGGGAGACTCCCCAAGCATATGGAAGAAGGTACTCTGGTCAGATGAGACTAAATTGAGCTTTTTGGCCATCAAGGAAAACGCTATGTCTGGCACAAACCCAACACCTCTCATCACCCCGAGAACACCATCCCCACAGTGAAGCATGGTGGTGGCAGCATCAGGCTGTGGGGATGTTTTTCATCTGCAAGGACTGGGAAACTGGTCAGAATTGAAGGAATGATGGATGGCGCTAAATACAGGGAAATTCTTGAGGGGAACCTGTTTCAGTCTTCCAGAGATTTGAGACTGAGACGGAGGTTCACCTTCCAGCAGGACAATGACCCTAAGCATACTGCTAAAGCAACACTTGAGTGGTTTAAGGGGTAACATTTAAATGTCTTTGAATGGCCTAGTCAAAGCCCAGACCTCAATCCAATTGAGAATCTGTGGTATGACTTAAAGATTGCTGTACACCAGCGGAACCCATCCAACTTGAAGGAGCTGTAGCAGTTTTGCCTTGGAGAATCGGCAAAAATCCCAGTGGCTAGATGTTCCAAGCTTATAGAGACATACCCCAAGAGACTTGCAGCTGTAATTGCTGCAAAAGGTGGCTCTACAAAGTATTGACTTTGGGGGTGTGAATAGCTATGCAAACTCAAGTTTTCTGTTTTTTTTTGTCTTATTTCTTGTTTGTTTCACAATGTAATTTTTTTGTTGCATCTTCAAAGTGGTAGGCATGTTGTGTAAATCAAATGATACAAACACCCCCCCAAAAAACATTTTAATTCCAGGTTGTAAGGCAACAAAGTTGGAAAAATGCCAAGGGGGTGAATACTTTCGCAAGCCACTGTATCTGTCTCCCTTTCTCTCTCTAGAGCCCCCACTGGTCGTATGCGAACCATGTCCCTGGGTTCTGGGGGGTGGGAGAGTGACTCGGTGGGGGGGTGGGCCGCCCCTCTGGAAGCCTCTAGTGAACCCCATTACTACCACGTTCCCTGCTCCACTCGAGAGGGGGGAGAGAGGAGGGAGAGGGGGTACAGGTGCACCCCAGAGGGGAGGGGAGGGTGGGGGCGGACCAGGTGGAGGGCGCCCCCCAGCACAGAGGAAGAGGAGGAAGAGGAGGAGGAGGAGGAGGACACATGGTCAGAGGCCTGGAGCACACCTGAGACTCAGAGACACGCAGACGTCAGGCTGGAACCCTCACCTGGCTCAGGTAATAACCTTTAACCTTACCAGGCTGGAACCCTCACCTGGCTCAGGTAATAACCTTTAACCTTACCAGGCTGGAACCCTCACCTGGCTCAGGTAATAACCTTTAACCTTACCAGGCTGGAACCCTCACCTGGCTCAGGTAATAACCTTTAACCTTACCAGGCTGGAACCCTCACCTGGCTCAGGTAATAACCTTTAACCTTACCAGGCTGGAACCCTCACCTGGCTCAGGTAATAACCTTTAACCTTACCAGGCTGGAACCCTCACCTGGCTCAGGTAATAACCTTTAACCTTACCAGGCAGCAGGGAAAAGGTTAACATTAGCATCCACCATCACAATCGTTGTTCAATGCTTACCCACTTTCTAAATGACACCCTATTGAACAGGGTCAATACGGCTCTGGTCAAAATACGTGCCCTATATACACTGACTACACCAACCATTAGGAACAAACACCTTCCTAATATCAACACTGACTGAAGTGGATTTAACAGGTGACATCCATAAGGGATCATAGCTTTCACCTGGATTCACCTGGTCAGTCTACGTCATGGAAAGAGGAGGTGTTCTTAATGTTTTGTACACTCAGTGTATATAGGGAATAGGGTACCATTTGGGCAGCCTTGTCTGTGTCTAAACTCCAGCCTTGTCTGTGTCTAAACTCCAGCCTTGTCTGTGTCTAAACTCCAGCCTTGTCTGTGTCTAAACTCCAGCCTTGTCTGTGTCTAAACTCCAGCCTTGTCTGTGTCTAAACTCCAGCCTTGTCTGTGTCTAAACTCCAGCCTTGTCTGTGTCTAAACTCCAGCCTTGTCTGTGTCTAAACTCCAGCCTTGTCTATGTCTAACTCCAGCCTTGTCTGTGTCTAAACTCCAGCCTGTCTGTGTCTAAACTCCAGCTTGTCTGTGTCTAAACTCCAGCCTTGTCTGTGTCTAAACTCCAGCCTTGTCTGTGTTTAAACTCCAGCCTTGTCGTGTCTAAACTCCAGCCTTGTCTGTGTCTAAACTCCAGCCTTGTCTGTGTCTAAACTCCAGCCTTGTCTGTGTATAAACTCCAGCCTTGTCTGTGTCTAAACTCCAGCCTTGTCTGTGTCTAAACTCCAGCCTTGTCTGTGTCTAAACTCCAGCCTTGTCTGTGTCTAAACTCCAGCCTTGTCTGTGTCTAAATCCAAGCCTTGTCTGTGTCTAACTCCAGCCTTGTCTGTGTCTAAACTCCAGCCTTGTCTGTGTCTAACTCCAGCTTGTCTTGTGTCTAAACTCCACCTGGTCACTGGTTGTCTAAACTCCACCTTGTCTGTGTCTAAACCCAGCCTTGTCTGTGTCTAAACTCCAGCCTTGTCTGTGTCTAAACTCCAGCCTTGTCTGTGTCTAAACTCCAGCCTTGTCTGTGTCTAAACTCCAGCCTTGTCTGTGTCTAAACTCCAGCCTTGTCTGTGTCTAAACTCCAGCCTTGTCTGTGTCTAAACTCCAGCCTTGTCTGTGTCTAAACTCCAGCCTTGTCTATGTCTTCGTGTGTCTTACTATCTCTACCTGATGTTTCCTCCAGGTGTGTCGTCCGTGCAGTCCAGCCCGTGTCACCGTGGTGACATAGCGTTGGGGGCGGGGACTCTGAGACTGAGGGCGGGGTTATTCTGTGTGTTTCCTTATTTGGATGTGCGGACGTTGCTGCTCGTCGCTGAGGTGTGCTCTGATTGGAGGTTTGTGGCAAGACACCCGGCCGTCTGGACACGGGTACGACTGGAGAACGCCAGAGTCTCCGCTAAGGTAAACGCACCTTTGGCATAATAATCATCATTGATATCATTGCAGTGAAGTTACGGTCATGTTTGGGTCTATTTCAGTTCTGTTTTAGTTCATGGTTGTGTTTCACTCCTGTTCTCACGGTGTGGTTGTGGTTAATGTATGTTAATGTTATGTTATTTTATGGTTGTGTTTTTGATCCATGGTTGTGTTTCAGTTCCTGGTGACGTTGTCTCAGTGGTATACTCAAACACTCCCTGGTGTGGTTGTGTTATGGTTAATCCATGGTTGTGTTGTGGTTGTGTTGTGGTTGTGTTATGGTTAAGCTAAGGTTGTGTTATGGGTTGTGTTTCAGTTCCTGGTGACGTTGTCACAGTGGTATACTCAGACACACTCCCTGGTGTAGTTGTGTTATGGTTAATCCATGGTTGTGTTGTGGTTGTAGTTGTGTTATGGTTAATCCATGGTTGTGTTATGGTTGTAGTTGTGTTATGGTTAATCCATGGTTGTGTTATGGTTGTAGTTGTGTTATGGTTAATCCATGGTTGTGTTGTGGTTGTGTTATGGTTAATCCATGGTTGTGTTGTGGTTGTTTTATGGTTAATCCATAGTTGTGTTGTGGTTGTGTTATGGTTAATCCATGGTTGTGTTATGCTTGTGTTGTGGTTGTTTTATGATTAATCCATGGTTGTGTTGTGGTTGTAGTTGTGTTATGGTTAATCCATGGTTGTGTTGTGGTTGTAGTTGTGGTTGTTTTATGGTTAATCCATGGTTGTGTTATGGTTGTGTTGTGGTTGTTTTATGGTTAATCCATGGTTGTGTTGTGGTTGTAGTTGTGTTATGGTTAATCCAATGGTTGTGTTATGGTTGTGTTGTGGTTGTTTTATGGTTAATCCATGGTTGTGTTGTGGTTGTAGTTGTATTATGGTTAATCCATGGTTGTGTTGTTGTTGTAGTTGTGTTATGGTTAATCCATGGTTGTGTTATGGTTGTAGTTGTGTTATGGTTAATCCATGGTTGTGTTATGGTTGTGTTGTGGTTGTTTTATGGTTAATCCATGGTTGTGTTGTGGTTGTAGTTGTGTTATGGTTAATCCATGGTTGTGTTATGGTTGTGTTGTGGTTGTTTTATGGTTAATCCATGGTTGTGTTATGGTTGTGTTGTGGTTGTTTTATGGTTAATCCATGGTTGTGTTGTGGTTGTAGTTGTATTATGGTTAATCCATGGTTGTGTTGTGGTTGTAGTTGTGTTATGGTTAATCCATGGTTGTGTTATGGTTGTAGTTGTGTTATGGTTAATCCATGGTTGTGTTATGGTTGTGTTGTGGTTGTTTTATGGTTAATCCATGGTTGTGTTGTGGTTGTAGTTGTGTTATGGTTAATCCATGGTTGTGTTATGGTTGTAGTTGTGTTATGGTTAATCCATGGTTGTGTTATGGTTGTGTTGTGGTTGTTTTATGGTTAATCCATGGTTGTGTTGTGGATGTCTTATGGTTAATCCATAGTTGTGTTATGGTTGTGTTGTGGTTGTTTTATGGTTAATCTATGGTTGTGTTGTGGTTGTAGTTGTGTTATGGTTAATCCATGGTTGTGTTATGGTTGTAGTTGTGTTATGGTTAATCCATGGTTGTGTTGTGGTTGTAGTTGTGTTATGGTTAATCCATAGTTGTGTTATGGTTGTGTTGTGGTTGTTTTATGGTTAATCCATGGTTGTGTTGTGGTTGTAGTTGTTTTATGGTGAATCCATGGTTGTGTTGTGGTTGTAGTTGTGTTATGGTTAATCCATGGTTGTGTTATGGTTGTAGTTGTGTTATGGTTAATCCATGGTTGTGTTGTGGTTGTAGTTGTGTTATGGTTCATCCATGGTTGTGTTATGGTTGTGTTGTAGTTGTGTTATGGTTAATCCATAGTTGTGTTATGGTTAATCCATGGTTGTGTTATGGTTGTAGTTGTGTTATGGTTAATCCATGGTTGTGTTATGGTTGTGTTGTGGTTGTTTTATGGTTAATCCATGGTTGTGTTGTGGATGTTTTATGGTTAATCCATAGTTGTGTTATGGTTGTGTTGTGGTTGTTTTATGGTTAATCCATGGTTGTGTTGTGGTTGTAGTTGTGTTATGGTTAATCCATGGTTGTGTTATGGTTGTAGTTGTGTTATGGTTAATCCATGGTTGTGTTGTGGTTGTAGTTGTGTTATGGTTAATCCATGGTTGTGTTATGGTTGTGTTGTGGTTGTTTTATGGTTAATCCAATGTTGTGTCATGGTTGTAGTTGTGTTATGGTTAATCCATGGTTGTGTTATGGTTGTCTTGTGGTTGTTTTATGGTTAATCCATGGTTGTGTTGTGGATGTTTTATGGTTAATCCATAGTTGTGTTATGGTTGTGTTGTGGTTGTTTTATGGTTAATCCATGGTTGTGTTGTGGTTGTAGTTGTGTTATGGTTAATCCATGGTTGTGTTATGGTTGTAGTTGTGTTATGGTTCATCCATGGTTGTGTTATGGTTGTGTTGTGGATGTTTTATGGTTAATCCATGGTTGTGTTATGGTTATATTTCAGTTCCTCGTGACCATGTCTCAGTGGTGTACTCAGACCCATTCCCTGGTGCTCCAGAACCTCAAACCACGACCGCGACGCCGAAATGAACGCAGAGAGGACTACGACAAGACCACACGGTAACCTCCATTAATATCAAACAAGGACAACAAAACATACAGTACTGGACCACACGGTAACCTCCATTAATATCAAACAAGGACAACAAAACATACAGTACTGGACCACACGGTAACCTCCATTAATATTAAACAAGGACAACAAAACATACAGTACTGGACCACACGGTAACCTCCATTAATATTAAACAAGGACAACAAAACATACAGTACTGGACCACACGGTAACCTCCATTAATATTAAACAAGGACAACAAAAACATACAGTACTGGACCACACGGTAACCTCCATTAATATTAAACAAGGACAACAAAACATACAGTACTGGACCACACGGTAACCTCCATTAATATTAAACAAGGACAACAAAACATACAGTACTGGACCACACGGTAAGCTCCATTAATATTAAACAAGGACAACAAAACATACAGTACTGGACCACACGGTCACCTCCATTAATATCAAACAAGGACAACAAAACATACAGTACTGGACCACACGGTAACCTCCATTAATATCAAACAAGGACAACAAAACATACAGTACTGGACCACACGGTAACCTCCATTAATATTAAACAAGGACAACAAAACATACAGTACTGGACCACACGGTAACCTCCATTAATATTAAACAAGGACAACAAAAATACAGTACTGGACCCACGGTAACTCCATTAATTTAAACAAGGACAACAAAACATACGTACTGGACCACACGGTAACCTCCTTAATATTAAACAAGGACAACAAAACATACAGTACTGGACCACACGGTAACCTCCATTAATATAAACAAGGACAACAAAACATCAGTCTGGACCACACGGTAACCTCCATTATTAAACAAGGACAACAAAACATACAGTACTGGACCACACGGTAACTCCATTAATATTAACAAGGACAACAAAACATACAGTACTGGACCACACGGTAACCTCCATAATATTAAACAAGGACAACAAAACATACAGTACTGGACCACACGGTAACCTCCATTAATATTAAACAAGGACAACACAAACATACAGTACTGGACCACACGGTAACCTCCATTAATATTAAACAAGGACAACAAAACATACCAGTCCTGGACCACACGGTAACCTCCATTAATATTAAACAAGGACAACAAAACATACAGTACTGGACCCACACGGTAAACCTCCATTAATATTAAACAAGGACAACAAAACATACAGTACTGGACCACACGGTAACCTCCATTAATATTAAACAAGGACAACAAAACATACAGTACTGGACCACACGGTAACCTCCATTAATATTAAACAAGGACAACAAACATACAGTACTGGACACACGGTCACCTCCATTAATATTAAACAAGGACAACAAAACATCCAGTCCTGGACCACACGGTAACCTCCATTAATATCAAACAAGGACAAACAAAACCATACAGTACTGGACCACACGGGTAACCTCCATTAATATTAAACAAGGACAACAAAACATACAGTACTGGACCACACGGTAACCTCCATTAATATCAAACAAGGACAACAAAAAATACAGTACTGGACCACACGGTAACCTCCATTAATATCAAACAAGGACAACAAAACATACAGTACTGGACCACACGGTAACCTCCATTAATATTAAACAAGGACAACAAAACATACAGTACTGGACCACACGGTAACCTCCATTAATATTAAACAAGGACAACAAAACATACAGTCACTGGACCACACGGTCATATTGCATTGGTAGCCTGCTAGCCTACAGCAACAGGGTGGTGTGTCTCTCCAGGGGCTGTCTGGAGGGAGGTGTGGAGGCGTTGCTGAGGTCAGCAGGATGCAGTCTACTGGTGCTCAGAGTGTCTCACTGTCCTCACGTCCTGACTGACCGCTCCCTGTGGCTGGCAAGCTGCTACAGTAGAAACCTACAGCACCTCACATACAGGTAACATACAGCACCTCACATACAGGTAACCTACAACACCTCACATACAGGTAACCTACAGCACCTCACATACAGGGAACCTACAGCACCTCACATACAGGTAACCTACAGCACCTCACATACAGGTAACCTACAGCACCTCACATACAGGTAACCTACAGCACCTCACATACAGGTAACCTACAACACCTCACATACAGGTAACCTACAACACCTCACATACAGGTAACCTACAACACCTCACATACAGGTAACCTACAACACCTCACATACAGGTAACCTACAGCACCTCACATACAGGTAACCTACAGCACCTCACATACAGGTAACCTACAGCACCTCACATACAGGTAACCTACAGCACCTCACATTTCCAGGTAACCTACAGCACCTCACATACAGGTAACCTACAGCACCTCACATACAGGTAACCTACAGCACCTCACATACAGGTAACCTACAGCACCTCACATACAGTAACCTACAGCACCTCACATACAGGTAACTTACAGCACCTTACATACAGGTAACCTAGAGAACCTCACATACAGGTAACCTAGAGAACCTCACATACAGGTAACCTACAGCACCTCACATACAGGTAACCTACAGCACCTCACATACAGGTAACCTACAGCACCTCACATACAGGTAACCTACAGCACCTCACATACAGGTAACCTACAGCACCTCACATACAGGTAACCTACAGCACCTAACATACAGGTAACCTACAGCACCTCACATACAGGTAACCTACAGCACCTCACATACAGGTAACCTACAGCACCTCACATACAGGTAACCTACAGCACCTCACATACAGGTAACCTACAACACCTCACATACAGGTAACCTACAACACCTCACATACAGGTAACCTACAACACCTCACATACAGGGAACCTACAGCACCCTCACATACAGGTAACCTACAGCACCTCACATACAGGGAACCTACAGCACCTCACCTACAGTAACCTACTACAGGTACCTACAGCACCTCACATACAGGTAAACCCTTACAGCACCTCACATACAGGTAACCTACAGCACCTCACATACAGGTAACCTACAGCACCTCACATACAGGTAACCTACAGCACCTCACATACAGGTAACCTACAGCACCTCACATACAGGTAAACCTACAGCACCTCACATACAGGTAACCTACAGCACCTCACATACAGGTAACCTACAGCACCTCACATACAGGTAACCTACAGCAACCTCACATACAGGTAACCTACAGCACCTCACATACAGGTAACCTACAACACCTCACATACAGGTACCTACACACCTCACATACAGGTAACCTACAGCACCTCACATACAGGGAAACCTACAGCACCTCCCATACAGGTAACCTACAACACCTCACATACAAGGTAACCTACAACACCTCACATACAGGTAACCTACAGCACCTCACATACAGGTAACCTACAGCACCTCACATACAGGTAACCTACAGCACCTCACATACAGGTAACCCTACAACACCTCACATACAGGTAACCTACAGCACCTCACATACAGGTAACCTACAACACCTCACATACAGGTAACCTACAACACCTCACATACAGGGAACCTACAGCACCTCACATACAGGTAACCTACAACACCTCACATACAGGTAACCTACAGCACCTCACATACAGGTAACCTACAGCACCTCACATACAGATAACCTACAGCACCTCACATACAGGTAACCTACAGCACCTCACATACAGGTAACTTACAGCACCTCACATACAGGTAACCTACAGCACCTCACATACAGGGAACCTACAGCACCTCACATACAGGTAACCTACAGCACCTCACATACAGATAACCTACAGCACCTCACATACAGGTAACCTACAACACCTCACATACAGGGAACCTACAGCACATCACATACAGGTAACCTACAGCACCTCACATACAGGTAACCTACAGCACCTCACATACAGGTAACCTACAGCACCTCACATACAGGTAACCTACAGCACCTCACATACAGGGAACCTACAGCACATCACATACAGGGAACCTACAGCACCTCACATACAGGTAACCTACAGCACCTCACATACAGGTAACCTACAGCACCTCACATACAGGTAACCTACAGCACCTCACATACAGGTAACCTACAGCACCTCACATACATGTAACCTACAGCACCTCACATACAGGTAACCTACAGCACCTTAGGGTCGTGTTGGTGTGTTTGTGTGTGAAGCCTCATCATGAGAGCATGAGTCAGTCTCACCTCGACTACATTTGCGTGCCTATTCTGAAATAACTGTGTGTGTATGTCTGTTTGTGTTTGTCTGTGTGTGTGTGTGTGTGGTGTGTGTGTGTGTGTGTGTGTGTCTGTGTGTCAGGAGTTCGTCAGACCCCATTGGTCATGAGGTGGTGTGGGCTCTAGGAGCAGGCTGCAGAAACATGACGTCCCTACAGGTGGCGCCACTACACCCCTGGTGAGTAACAGTGCCGTGGTAGTCGTAAATTACATTTTACATGTTTTGTTATTTAGCAGACACTATTATCCAGAGCGACTCAATTTATACCCTAATTTACATGGACACAAGAACTACAATCAGCTACACAAAATGAAGATCCGGCGTAGATGCGTAGATAAAGTTGTGCGGACCCGCAATTTGTAACGCATTGCAATTACGGAGAATAACAATTTTGCGTAGCAACTGCATTCTTGCGTTGTGTACGTAGGGAATGAATTAGGCTCCAGTAGTCGTAGTAAGGCACTTAACCCTAATTGCTCCTGTAAGTCGCTCTGGATAAGAGCGTCTGCTAAATGACTAAAATGTAAAATGTAATGTAATATTAGTAGTAGTAGGTAGTAGTAGTAGTAGTAGAAAGTATGTATAAGTTGTACGAAGTAATATGTAGAGTGTGTAGTGTAGTAGTAGTAGTAGTGTATATAGATGTAGTAGTGTAGTAGTAGTCGTAGTAGTAGAAGTAGTAGTAGTAATATTAGTATGTAGTGTAGTAGTAGTAGTAGTAGTAGATAGTCGTAGTAGTAGTAGTAGTAGTAGTAGTAGTAATAGTTAGTAGTTAGTAGTAGTTAGTAGTAGTAGTTAGTAGTAGTATTAGTAGTAGTGTAGTAGTAGTAGTAGTAGTAGTAGTAGTAGTGTAGTAGTAGTCGTAGTATGGAATATAGTAAGTCGTGGTTAGTAGTAGTGGTTAGTAGGTTAGTAGTAATTAGTAGTTAGTAGTAGTAGCCCTAGTAGTAGTAGGTAGTAGTAGTAGTAGTAGTAAGTCGTATTAGTAGTAGTTAGTAGTAATATGTAGTAGTAGTAGTAGTAATATAGTAGTAGTAGTAGTAGTAGTAATATTAGTAGTAGTAGAATAGATCAAATTAAATCAAATTGTATTTGTCACATGCGCCAAATTCAACAGGTGCAGATCTTACCGTGAAATGCTTACTTGCAAGCCCTTAACCAACAATGCAGTTTTAAGAAAATTGAGTTAAGAAAATATTTACTAAATAAACAAAAGTTTTAAAAAAGTAACACAATAAAATAACAGTAGCGAGGCTATGTACAGGGGGTACCGGTACCGAGTCAATGTGCGGGGGTACAGGTTAGTCCAGGTAATTGAGGTAATTTGTACATGTAGGTAGACAGTGAGTAGCAGCAGTGTAGCAGCAGTGTAAAAACAAAGGAGGGTCAATGCAAATAGTCCAGGTAGCCATTTGATTGTTCAGCAGTTTTATGGATTGGGGGTAGAAGCTGTTAAGGAGCCTTTTGGTCCTAGACTTGGCGCTCCGGTACCACTTGCTGTGCGGTAGCAGAGAGAACAATCTATGACTTGGGTGACTGGAGTCTTTGACAGTTTTTTGGGCCTTCCTCTGACACCGCCTGGTATAGAGGTCCTGGATGGCAGGAAGCTTGACCCCAGTGATGTACTGGGCTGTACGCACTACCCTCTGTAGCTCCTTACGGTCAGATGCCGAGCAGTTGCCATACCGGGCGGTGATGCAACCGGTCAGGATGCTCTCGATGGTGCAGCTGTAGAACTTTCTGAGGATCTGGGGACCCATGCCAAATATTTTCAGTCTCCTGAGGGGGAAAGGCTTTGTCGTGCCCTCTTCACGACTGTCTTGGTGTGTTTGGACCGGGATAGTTTGTTGGTGATGTGGACACCAAGGAACTTCAAGCTCTCGACCCGCTCCACTACAGCCCCGTCGGTGTGAATGGGGGCGTTTTCGGCCCTCCATTTCCTGTAGTCCACAATCAGCTCCTTTGTCTTGCTCACATTGAGGGAGAGGTTGTTGTCCTGGCACCACACGGCCAGGTCTCTGACCTCCTCCCTATAGGCTGTCTCATCGTTGTCGGTGATCAGGCCTACCACTGTTGTGTCGTCAGCAAACTTGATGATGGTGTTGGAGTCGTGCTTGGCGATGCAGTCATGAGTGAACAGGGAGTACAGGAGGGGACTGAGCACGCACCCCTGAGGGGCCCCCGTGTTGAGGATCAGTGTGGCAGATGTGTTGTTGCCTACCCTTACCACCTGGGGGTGGCCCGTCAGGAAGTCCAGGATCCAGTTGCAGAGGGAGGTGTTTAGTCCCAGGGTCCTTAGCTTAGTGATGAGCTTTGTGGGCACTATGGTGTTGAACGCTGAGCTGTAGTCAATGAACATCATTCTCACATAGGTGTTCCTTTTGTCCAGGTGGGAAAAGGCATTGTGGAGTGCAATTGAGATTGTGTCATCTGTGGACCTGTTGGGGCGGTATGCGATTTGGAGTGGGTTTAAGGTTTCCGGGAATGATAGTGTTGATGTGAGCCATGACCAGCCTTTCAAAGCACTGCATGGCTACAGATGTGAGTGCTACGGGGCGGTAGTCATATAGGCAGGTTACCTTCACGTTCTTGGGTACAGGGACTATGGTGGTCCGCCTTGAAACATGTAGGTATTACAGACTCGGTGTGGGAGAGGTTGGAAATGTCAGTGGTAATCCGTCTGGCCCCGCGGCCTTGTGAATGTTTACCTGTTTAAAGGTCTTGCTCACATCGGCTACGGAGAGCGTGATCACACAGTCGTCCTGGAACAGATGGTGCTCTCATGCATGCTTCAGTGTTGCTTGCCTCGAAGCGAGCATAAAAGGCATTTAGCCCGTCTGGTAGGCTCGCGTCACTGGGCAGCTCGCGGCTGGGTTTCCCTTTGTAGTCTGTAATAGTTTACAAGCCCTGCCACATCCGACGAGTGTCAGAGCTGGTGTAGTAGGATTCAATCTTAGTCCTGTATTGACTCTTTGCCTGTTTGATGGTTCATCTGAGGGCATAGCGGGATTTCTTATAAGCGTCAGGATTAGTGTCCCGCTCCTTGAAAGCGGCAGCTCTAGCCTTTAGCTCAGTGCGGATGTTGCCTGTAATCCATGGCTTCTGGTTGGGGTATGTACGTACGGTCACTGTGGGGACGATGTCATCAATGCACTTATTGATGAAGCCAGTGACTGAGGTGGTGTACTCCTCAATGCCATTGGATGAATCCCGGAACATATTCCAGTCTGTGTTAGCAAAACAGTCCTGTAGCGTAGCATCTGTGTCATCTGACCACTTCCTTATTGAGCGAGTCACTGGTACTTCCTGATTTGGTTTTTGCTTGTAAGCAGAATTGTGGTCAGATTTGCCAAATGGAGGGCGAGGGAGAGCTTTGTGTGTGTGGAGTAAGTTTTTTTTCCCCCTCTAGTTGCACATGTGACATGCATGGTAGAAATGAGTTAAATACAGATTTAAGTTTCCCTGCATTAAATTCCCAGACCACTAGGAGCCCTACCTCTGGATGAGCATTTTCTGTTTGCTTATGGCCTTATACAGCTCGTTGATTGCGGTCTTAGTGCCAGCATCGGTTTGTGGAGGTAAATAGACAGCTGTGAAAAATATAGATGAAAACTCTCTTGGTAGATAGTGTGGTCTACAGCTTATCATGAGGTACTCTACCTCAGACGAGCAAAACCTTGAGACTTCTTCAATATTAGACATCATGCACCAGCTGTTATTGACAAATAGACACTCAACTCGTCTAAACAGATTTAGCTGTTATGTCTTGCCGATTCACGGCCAGTTGTAGTATAGTAGTCGTAGTAGTGGTAGTATAGTTGTCATATATGTGTAGTAGTAGTAGTAGAATAGTAGTAGTATAGTAGTAGTAGTAGCAGTTGTAGTAGTAGTATCGTGTATTAGTAGTAGTAGTCAAAGTCATAGTTGTAGTAGTAATAATATAGTTGTAGTAGTAGTAGTAGTAGTAGTAGTAGTAGTAGTAGTAGTAGAAGTAGTAGTAGTATAAGTAGTAGTAGTAGCAGTAGTAGTAGTAGTAGTAGTAGTAGTAGTAGTAGTAGTAGTAGTCGAAGTAGTAGTAGTAGTAGTTAGTAGTAGTGAGTGTAGAAATAGTCGAGTAAATAGTTCGTAGTAGTCAGTAGTAAATAGTAGTAGTAGAGTAGTAGTAGTACAGTAGTAGTAGTCGTTGCGTAGTAGTAGTGTAGACAGTTTAGTAGTCGTACTGCAGTAGTAGTAAGTAGTGAGTGTCGAAGTAGCAGTAGTGTAGTAGTCGTAGTCAGTATAGTAGTAGTTCGTCAGTGTAGTAGCAGTAGTATGTAAAGTTAGTCGTAGTAGTAGCCGTAGTAGTAGTGGGGGTAGTAGTAGTGTGTAGAGTAGGAGTAGTAGCAGTAGTAGTGAGTAGTAGTAGTAGTAGTTTAGCATAGTAGTAGAGTCGTAGCGTAGTAGTGTATAGTATAGTTAGCAGTAGAGTAGTAGTAGTCGCTGTGTAGATATGTTAGTGTAGTAGTAGTGTGTAGTTAGTAGTAGTTGTCAGTGAGTGTTAGTAGCTTAGTTAGTTGGTAGTAGCCTAGTGTAGTCAGTAGTAGTAGTGGTGTGTAGTTGTAGTTACGTTGTAGTAGTTAGTAGTAGTCGTAGTGTGTGTAGTTGTTAGTATACTCTATCTAGTAGTGTAGTAGTAGTTATTATCGTGTAGTAGTTGTATAGTAGTAGTGTATTAGTAGTATAGTTAGTATTATAGTACGCAGTAGTGTAGTAGTAGTAGTTGTGGTAGTGAGTAGTATGTAGTAGGTTAGTAGTGAGTAGTAGGGTAGTAGGTGTAGTAGTTACGTTAGTAGTAGTAGTGTAGTAGTAGAGTAGTAGCAGTAGTAGTAGTAGGAGTATACAGTAGGTAGTAGTAGTAGTAGTTAGTGGTGTAGCAGTAGTAGTAGTAGTATTGTAGTAGTAGTAGAATAGTATTAGTAGTAGTCTAGTAGTAAGCAGTAGTAGTAGTAGTAGTCATAGAGAGTAGTAGTAGTAGTAGTAGTGGTAGTAGCATAGTAGTAGTAGTAGTAGTAGTTAGTAGTGTAGTAGTGTAGAGTAGTAGTAGTAGAGAGGTAAGTGAGTAGTAGTAGTAGTAGTGAGTAGTAGAGTAGAGTAGTAGTAGTGGTAGTAGAGTAGTAGTAGTAGTATGATGAGTAGTAGTCGTAGTAGTAGTATAGTGAGTAAGTAGTAGTAGCAGTTAGTAGCAGTAGTAGTGAGTAGCAGTAGTAGTAGTAGTAGTCAGTGTTAGTAGTAGTAGAGTAGTAGTAGTAGTAGTAGGTAGTTGGTAGTAGCAGTAGTAGTAGTATAGTAGTAGTAGTAGTAGTGTGGGTAGTAGCAGTAGTAGTAGTAGTAGTAGTAGTGTGTAGTAGTAGTAGTAGTAGTAGTAGTGAGTAGTAGTAGTAGTAGTAGTAGTAGTAGTAGTGGTAGTACAGTTTAGTATGTAGTAGTATAGTATAGTAGTAGTAGTGAGTAGTAGTAGTGTAGTAGAGTAGAGATAGTAGTAGTGGTAGTAGTAGTAGTAGTAGTGGGTCATAGTAGTGTAGCAGTGTATAGGTAGTAGTAGTAGAGTAGTGGTAGTAGCAGTAGTAGTAGTTAGTAGTAGTATAGTAGTTAGTAGTAGTAGTGTGTAGTAGCAGTTTTGTGTAGTAGTAGTAGTAGTAGTAGTAGTAGTAGTAGTAGTAGTTAGTAGTAGTAGTAGTTAGTAGTAGTTAGTAGTAGTAGTAGTAGTAGTAGTAGTAGTAGTAGTAGTAGTGGTAGTAGTAGTATTAGTAGTAGTATAGTTGTTGTTGTTGTTTTACTATTTTCTGGCCTGTTCCTTTCCTTCCCCAGTCAGCAGCCGACCCGCTTCAGTAACCGATGCCTGCAGATGATTGGCCGCTGTTGGCCACACCTCCGCGTGCTCAGTGTGGGCGGGGCTGGCTGTAGCATTCAGGGATTGTCCGCACTGGGTGAGTGAAGGATGCAGTACCAGAGGTAGATTGGTCTGTCTGGCTGAGTGACAGATACAATATATACCAGAGGTTGATTGGTCTGTCTGGCTGAGTGACAGATACAATATATACCAGAGGTTGATTGGTCTGTCTGGCTGAGTGACAGATACAATATATACCAGAGGTTGATTGGTCTGTCTGGCTGAGTGACAAATGTTTTAGAGAAGTATTTACAGTACCAGTCAAAAGTTTGGACACATCTACTCATTCAATGGTTTTTCTTTATTTTTACTATTTTCTACCTTGTAGAATAATAGTGAAGACATCAAAAGTATGAAATAACACATATGGAATCATCTAGTAAACAAAAAAGTGTTAAACAAATCAAAATATATTTTATATTTGAGATTCTTCAAATAGGCACCCAGAGTTGTGTTGGGTCTCTCTCTGTTTGGTCTATCTCTGTCAGAGTTGTGTTGGGTCTCTGTCAGAGTTGTGTTGGGTGCTCTCTCTATCAGAGTTGTGTTGGGTCTCTATCAGAGTTGTGTTGGGTCTCTCTCTATCAGAGTTGTGTTGGGTCTCTGTCAGAGTTGTGTTGGGTCTCTATCAGAGTTGTGTTGGGTCTCTATCAGAGTTGTGTTGGGTCTCTGTCAGAGTTGTGTTGGGTCTCTCTCTTCAGAGTTGTGTTGGGTCTCTATCAGAGTTGTGTTGGGTCTCTATCAGAGTTGTATTGGGTCTCTCTCTCTCAGAGTTGTGTTGGGTCTCTCTCTATCAGAGTTGTGTTGGGTCTCTATCAGAGTTGTGTTGGGTCTCTATCAGAGTTGTGTGGTTCTTTTCTCTATCTGTGCAGATCTTACCGTAATGCTTACTGCAAGCCTTAACCAACATGCAGTTTTTAGAAATTGACAGAAAAATATTTCTAAATACCAAAGTTTTCAAAAAGTTCCAACATAAAATAACGTGTCGAGGCTATGTACAGGGGGGTACCGGTACCGAGTCAATGTCGGGGGTACAGTTAGTCCCAGGTAATTGGGTACTCCTTGTACAATGTCGGTCGAACGTGGTAGCAGCATGTAGCAGCATGTAAAAATAACGGAGGGTCAATGCAAATAGTCCATTAGCCCATTATGATTCGTTTCACAGTTTTTATGTTGGGGGAAGAAGCCTGTTAAAGGGGAGCCTTTTGTCCTAGAACTTGCTTTGGCGCTCGGTACAACTTGGCTGTGCGGTAGCAGAGGAATTATGACTGACTGGTGACTGGAGTCTTTGACAGTTTTTTGGGCTTCCTCTGACACCCGCCTGGTATAGAGGTCCTGGATTGGCAGGAAGCTTGGGCCCCGTGATGTACGGCTGTACGCACTACGCCTCTGTAGGCTCCTTACGGTCCAGATGCGAGCATGGTTGCCATCCCGGGCGTGATCACCAAACCGGGGTCAGGATGCTCTCGATGGTGTCAGCTGTATAGACTTTCTGAGGATTCCTGGGGACCCATCCAATATTTTTTCATCAGTCTCCTGAGGGAAAGGCTTTGTTGTCGTGCCCTCTTCACGGGCTTGTCCGTGTGTGTTGGACCCGGGATAGTTTGTTGGTGATGTGGACACCAAGGAACTTCAGCTCTCGACCCCGCTCCCCTACTAACAGCCCCGTCGGTGGATGGGGGCGTTTTCGCCTACCATTTCCCTGTAGTCCACAATCACCACTCCAGCTCTTTGTCTTGCTCACATTGAGGGAGAGGTTGTGTCCTGGCACCACACGGCCGAAGGTCCTTATGACCTCCTCCCTATATGTGTCTCATCTTGTCTTGATCAGGCCTACACTGTTGTGGGGTCGTCACAAACTTGATGATGGTGTTGGAGTCGTGCTTGGCGATGCAGTCATGGTGACACTGGAGTAAACAGGAGGGGACTGAGCACGCACCCCTGAGGGGCCCCCTGTTTGAGGATTCAGGTGGCAGATGTGTGGTTGCCTACCCTTACCACCTGGGGTGGCCCTTCATGAAGTCCAGGTCCCAGTTAGCAGAGGGGAGTTGTTTAGAGGTCCCAGGTTCCTTTAGCTTAGGGATTAGCTTTGTGGGCACTATGGGTGTGTTGAACGCTGATCTGTAGTCAATGAACATCATTCTCACTAGTGTTCTTTGTCCGCAGGTGGGAAAAGGCATTGTGGAGTGCAATTGGAGATTGGTGTCATCTGTGACCTGTTGGGCGTAATGCTATTTGGAGTGGGTTTTAAGTTTCCGGGATATTTGTTTTATGTGAGCCATGACCACCTTTCAACGCCCTTCATGGCTACAGATTTAGTGCTTACGGGCTGGTAGTCATATCAGGGCAGTTACCTTCACGTTCTTGTACAGGGACTAATGGTGTCCGCTTGAAACTGTAGGTATACAGACCGGTGTGGGAGAGGTTGGAAATTCGTGGTAATCCCCGTCTGGCCCCCGCGGCCTTGTGGAATGTTTACCTGTTTCAAAGGATCTTGCTCACATCGGCTATGGAGAGCGTGATCCACAGTCGTCCTAACAGATTGGTGCCTCATGCATGCTTCAGTTGTTGCTTTGCCTCGAAGCGAAGCATAAAAGGCATTTAGCCCGTTGGTAGCGGCGCGTCACTGGGCAGCTCGCGCTGGGTTCCCCTTTTAGTCTGTTATTATTTTTACAAGCCTGCCAGCAATCCGACGAGTGTCAAGCCGTGTAGTAGGATTAAATCTGGAGTCCGCTGTATTGACGCTTTGCCTGTTTTGATGGTTCATCTGAGGGGCATAGCGGGATTTCTTATAAGCGTCAGAATTAGTGTCCCCCCCTCCTTGAAAGCGGCAAGCTCGAGCCTTTAGCTCATGCGGATTGCCTGTAATCCATGGCTTCTGGTTGGGTATTGTACTTACGGTCACTGTGGGGGACGATGTCATCATGCACTTATTGATGAGCCAGTGACTGATGTGGTGTACCTCCTCAATGGCCATTGGATGAATCCCGGAACATATTCCAGTCTGGTGTTAGCAACCGTCCTGTGCGGCATCTGTGTCCATCTGACCACTTCCTTTAAAAATTGAGCTAGAAAAAATGAGCGAGTCACTGGTCCTTCCCTATTTGGTTTTTGGGGCTTGTAAGCAGAATTGTGGTCAGAATTGCCAAATGGGAAGGTCGAGGGAGAGCTTTGGTGTTGTGGAGTAAATTTTTTTTTCCCCCTCGAGTTTTGCAAGTGACTGCATGGTATAAAGATTCAATACAGATTTAAGTTTTCCTGCTTAATCCCATCCCAGACCACTAGGACGCCCTACCTCTGATGATCACATTTTCTTGGTGCTTATGGCCTAACAGCTCGTTGATTTCGTCTTAGTGCCAGCAATCGTTTTGTGGAGGTAATAGGAAGCTGTGCAAAATTAGATGAAACTCTCTTGGTAGATAGTGTGGTCTACAGCTATCATGAGGTACTCTACTCAGAACGACAAACCGTGAACTTCTTCAATATTAGACATCATGCACAAGCTTTTTGACAAATAGCACTCAACTCGTCTAAAACAGATTTAGCTGTTATGTCTTGCCGCTTCACGCCAGTTGTAAGTAATAGTAGTCGTAGTATGTAGTATAGTTGTCCATATTGTGTAGTATTAGTCGTAGAATAGGTTATAAGGAGTATAGTAGCAGATTGTAGTAGTAGTATTGTGTTATTAGTAGTATTAGTCAAGTCATATTTGTAGTAGTAATATATAGTTGTAGTAGTAAGATAGTAGTAGTCGTCAGTCAGTATAGTAGTAGACAGTAGTAGTAAGTATAAGTAGGAGTAGTAGCTAGTAGTACAGTAAGTAGGAGGAGTAGTAGTACGTAGTAAGTAGTAGTAGTAGAATAGTAGTAGTAGTTCGTGTCGTCATAGCACGTAGTAGCAGTAGTAGTCGTATAACGTAGTAGTAGTAGCATTATAGAAGTAGTAGTAGTAGAAGTAGTAGTAGTAGCATGTCTTCATTAGTAGTAGTATGTATTAGAGTAGTGTTAGTAGCAGTTTTAGGAGTAGTCTAGTAAGTAGTAGTATAGTAGTAGTAGGAGTGGTAGTAGTAGTAGTGGTATTAGTAGTAGAGTCATAGTAGTAGTAGTAGTCGTAGCAGTAGTAGTAGCCGTAGTATCGTAGGAGCAGTAGCAGTATAGTAAGAGTAGCAGTAGTAGTAGGAGTAGTATAGTAGTAGTGGTAGTACATAGTAGTATAGTAGTATATGGTAGTAATAGTAGTAGTCGTAGTAGTATGTAGTATTAGTCTAGTGTTAATAGTATTATTCTTATTTTAGTAGTATAAATTAGTCGTAGTATATTTAATAGTATAGTAGTATTATAGTAGTGATGTATCGCGGAGTCGTATGTAGTTGTGGTCGAGTCGTAGTAGTAAGTTTAGTCAGTAGTCTCGTTCTCGTTGTAGTATTACAGTTGTCGTCGTATAGTAGTATTAGACGAGAAGAAGTATGTAGTAGAACTCTCACTACTATCGTAGTCGTTAGTATATTAAAAAAACAGTCCTAAGTCGTGTAGTAGTGTAAGTAGTGTGTATTAGTAGTGAAATAGTTTAGTAATTATGTACGGCAGTAGTAGTAGTAGTCGTCATATATAATAGTAGTAAGTAGTATAGTAGTAGTAGTATAGTGTAGTAGTAGTGTCGTTAGTAGTGCAGTAGTAGTAGAGTCTAAGTAGTAGTAGTGGTGTAGCAGTAGTAGTAGTAGGATGGTAGTACGGGATAGTAGTAGTAGTGTGGTAGTAGAGTAGTCGGTATAGTAGAAGTAGTAGTAGTAGCAGTAGTAGCAGTAGTATAGTACAGTAGTATATTAGTAGCAGTAGTCGTAGGAGTAGTAGTGGTATATGGTAGTACAGTAGTAGTAGAGTAGTAGTAGTAGTAGTGGTATAGCGTAGTAAGAGTAGTAGTAGTAGTGGTATATAGTAGTAGTAGTCGTAGTTCAAAAAGTCTTAGTATAGTGTAGTAGTAGTAGTAGTAGTAGTATAGTAGTATTGTTAATCTTATTATTTTATTATTAGTATAATAGATTATCGTAG